TTGAGTGACTATCTAGGTATATATATTCATGTATGAAAAAAAAACTGACCTGTCCAAATTTTATGTAAGCTGATGCTTGCTTATCTTGTTGTTATTGCTTTATGCAGTATTAAGACAAATTTCTTCCAGGAGTATTGAACTTTTTGGCTGCCTTTTTGTTTCATGTGAACAAATCTACTCTATTGTATGTTTTGTTGTATGAATTCAAACTGGTCACAAATTGCCTCACAGGTTCTGAAAAATAAAAGTAATGAAAAATATTAAAAATAAATAATTTTTTGTTGTTGGGATGTTTAACTAATTTTAGTAAGTGTCGAAACATGCTATTATTCACTCAGTGCAGTTTCATGCACTTTCAAAAAAGATACCACTGATATTGTTATAGAAATAATAGAATTGTGATAACTATTCAATTATTATAAAATGTGGAAACATCCATTGTGCTGGTGATCCACATTTCTTTATTTTGATCATCTGTAGATTTTTTTTATGTAAGGCTGTTGTATCTGTTATTTCTTTGATACTTGTTGATAAAAAAAAATCAGATAAACAATTTCTACATTCAGGTACCAGATATGATTAATTGTTGTCAGTGTTTTTTGAGAGTTGTTGTTAGAAACATTTTTGTATCAAATCAAAAGTTTGGTGAAATTCATGTCATTTAAAGCTGAAATAGTATACTGAATACAAGAATAAGTTTATTTCATCTGCTGATAATACACTGATTACAAGGTTTGTCCTAAACAATGGAAGTAAGGTGCAAATCTGCATTTGGTTTGCTTATTTGTTTACTTAACTTGAATTAGTCACAAAATAGGTAAATCTTGGTAAATCTAGGTAAATCAAGTTTTTTTGTTCTTTGTTAGACTTTTAGCAGGTGCATCAACTTTTCAAATTTTATTACAGATATTTAGATGGTTACACATTTTTCATAATATTTTGTTATGTTTATACAATAAATTCTCTCTAATTTGAATTTTATCGGTGAAAATAGTTTAAAGAGATTTTTGAATTATAGAAGGTTGACTTTTTACAGTGACATTATAAGGTGACTTTTCAAATTAGTTTTCAAATTAAAAGTTTTCAAATTAAAATAGTTTTCAAATTAAAAACGTTTTCAAAAAAAAAAAAAGTTTTCAAATTAAAAAAAGTTAGAGAGATTGTACTATATACACTTGTATGTATATAACAAAAAAAATTTCTATTAGTTAATTAGTTTCTAATAGTTTAAAAGTATCTTTGTAAACCAAATGTAAATTCTTTTATAAACTTTGTAGTGTGATAGCTGAACTTGGAAGTTGTTACTTAGTGGCCTACCTGGAACTTGGGAGTTGTTAGTTGGCACTTCAATATGTAAAGTAATATGCTCAACCTGTTTCTTTTTCAGCCTGGTTTGTTGAGGGTAGTGTTTCAAAGCTTAAGGTTGAGAGAATAATTTTCATCATCTCAAAGAAAATTGAGATGATGGAGAAAGAAAAAAAAAGAGTTGCTCTCATTATCCTTATGGGCAGGTGAAAAAATTTACAGATATTTTATTACAAAATATAATATCTAACATACAGTAACATCTAATGACAATATCTGTGTAAAAACACTAAAACAACTTTTATGTGATCCAAACCATCTTTTGCACGTTAAATTTTCAATTAAACATATATATACTTAAACCCTGTAAAAATACTTTCACTCAAAGAACATAACAACTTATAGAAAATGACCAATATATAGATTGATATAACATATACTTATAGATGCTATAACTTATAGATTATGTTACTGTCACTTATAGATTATGTTACTGTAACAATATTATTTAACTTTAAATTTAAATAAAAACAATAAAAGCTTTAATAATAGTTAAAATTGATAAACCTGAATCAATTTTAGTTATTTTTTTATATAACAATAACCAGAATTATGTATGTTTATCTTTATGCAACACAAACTCGTCAGCCTCAAATGGAAAATAGAAAACATTTAGTTAACTATAAGAATTTATAAGGTAATTATTCAATATAAGACAGATGTCTAGGAAATAGTTCAAGATTATAAAGGTAAGTAATTTATATTTTAACTAAAGTGTGCTAAAACTAAATCATAAGTTTGCTATTGAAATATGGCAGATCAATGATGTGAAGTAAAAGTTTTTTTTCTTTTTAAGGGATGAGGATTACATCTATAAGTATACCTAATAGGGTAAAAATGCCTTGTTAGGTAAGGTAAAAGTCTACAGATCTGAATTTCTATAATTTTTAAGAATAAATAAAGAAATAATAAGCTTGTTAATGAATTTTTTACTTTAGTTTATATGGTTAAGTGAAGTTGTTTGTTTCAAACTTAGTGTATATATTCAGTTTAATTTAATTTATAAGCCTTTATTCTTTATATTTAATTTATTTTTAATTTTTAATTATAAGGTTTAATGCGTATATATATGTTTTATGTTTAGTATATACATTTCAGTGCAGTTATTTGTTTTATAATTAGTTTATATTAGATT